GCACGTAATAGCGTTAAAAAATTGTTTTTTTTGTTTTGTTTTTTTTAATAGAAATAAAAATATATAAGCATATTAAAATTGTTTTTTTTTAAAAAAAATAATATAAAATGTCGAGAAGTGCCTTACGTGCAATAGTCGTTTAAATGTTCTGGAAATCTCACCCTTCTTCCAGAACGCGTCGTTTTAAGTTTATTTTCGGATACTGTCGAAGTATCTTCGTGTGTGTTGGTTGTCGGATGAGGTATTATAAGTGTCTGAGTCGTGTCGTTCGATTGTACCGAAGGAAAATCGACGTGGATAGGATTTCCTTCTAAATACGCTGCTTTTAAGCGATCGATGCTGATGCTATCGTTGGTTCCGTTCTTATCGACTATATAGTACTTAGATTCACGTTGAAGAACTTTGAAGGGTCCTTCGTATGCTGATTCGAATGGTCGTCGATGCGAGTCTCGACGAATGAAAACGTGTGTACTATATCGTAAGTCAGGTTGAACGAAAACATCAGTTGATTGAGGTCGAGTGGAAGCAGGTTTAACTGAACGCATTGCGTTTGTAAGCCTGTTCGTGTAGGAGGTTAGATCCATGTTCATCGAAGAGCACGAAGGATCCACGAATTCTCCTGGAAGTCGAAGTGTCGTTCCATAAACGAGTTGAGCCGCAGTGTATCCAATGTCAGCTTTCACTGCATTGCGGATACCTAGTAAGACGAGTGGAAGAGCGTCGGTCCATTGTGAAACGTTTGCAGCTGATAGCGAAGCTTTCAGTTGTCGGTGAAAACGTTCTACCAACCCGTTTGCTTGTGGATGGTAGGCGGTCGTTCGGAAGCGAGTGATTCCTAAAAGTGTGGTCAGACGACGGAAAAGATCAGATTCAAACTGACGTCCGCGGTCTGTAGTGATGGTTGAAGGGCAACCGAAGTTTGCTACCCATCGTTCGACGAATGTGCGGGCCACTGTTTCAGCAGTGCTGTCCTTGATAGGTACTGCTTCTGGCCATCGAGTGAAACGGTCTACGCAGGTTAAGAGATAAGAGTATCCATTTGAATCTGGTAAAGGTCCTACCAAATCCAGATGAACATGGTCGAAACGAGCATCGGGAGTTTTAAACGAGCCTAAGGGACATTTATTGTGTCTGATAACCTTAGATTTTTGGCAGCTTACACAGGAGCGTGCCCACTCCCTCACGTCTTTATTCATGCCAGGCCAGCAAAATCGTTCTGCTATAAGCTTGATGGTTGCACGAACACCTGGATGAGAAAGTTTGTGCAATGTGTTGAAGACATTGCGTCGATAATGTTTCGGCACGATTGGGCGATCCCTACCTGTAGATGTGTCACAAAGTAAGGTTTCCTTACCTGTTCCCATCTGTTTGATGCGTAGTTTAAGTGTTGTGGACGATAACTCGTGCTGAAGATCACTGTCTTCTTTTTGAAGCTCGGCGAGTTTAAGAAGGTCGATTCCTTGGAAACTGTTCAAGGAAGTTATGCGAGATAAAGCGTCTGCAACTACATTGTTTGCTCCAGAGATGTGTTGAATATCTGAAGTAAACTGCGAAATGTAGTCCAGTTGTCGAGACTCACGGGGAGAGTACTTGTCAGAAGGAGAGCTTAACGAGAAAGTGAGCGGTTTATGGTCCGTGAAAAGAGTGAATTCACGGCCTTCGATATAGTGTTGGAAATGCCGTACAGCACAATACATAGCTAGGAGTTCCCTACCGAATGTGCTGTACCTCGATTCGGTGTCTAGCAACCTTCTAGAGAAAAATGCCAAGGGTTGCCAGGAGTTGTTAACCCATTGTTGTAAGACTCCTCCGATTGCTGAGTCGGATGCGTCTACTGCGATGCTAATGGGTGCTCGGGTGTCCTGATGTGCGAGCATTGTTGCTTTAGCAATCAGTTCCTTGACTGTGGAGAATGCTTTTCGTGCGGTGTCGTCCAAATTAATGGATTTCGCATTTCCACGAAGTTGGTCGGTCAGAGGTTTCATAAGTGATGCGCATTGGGTATGAAACGTCTATAGAAACTTACCAGGCCGTTGAACGTGCGTAATTGCTTGACGGTGGTCGGTTCTGGGTAATCCAGAATGGCCGCCACTTTGGTTCTAAGGGGTCGGATACCTTGAGCATCGATAGTGTGTCCCAGAAAGTCTAACGAGTCGGTTCCAAATTGGCATTTCTGAACGTTTACAGTTATGCCATGTTTTTGTAATCGTTCGAAAACAAGGTCCAGATGCTTGAGATGTGTTTCTCTGTCCGGACTTGCGATTAGACAGTCGTCAACATACGCGTGTACGAAGTTGAGACCTCGAAAAACGTCGTCTATGAATCTTTGGAATGTTTGAGCAGCATTCCTTAGACCGAAAGGCATTCGCAAAAATTCATAGAGTCCGAAGGGAGTTATGATAGCTGTTTTCGGTATGTCGTCAGTGGCCATAGGGATTTGGTTATACGCTTTAACCAAGTCGATTTTCGAAAAGACAGTTGTACCTTTCAAGGTAGCTGTCAAATCGTGAATGTGAGGCAACGGGTAACGATCGGGAATGGTTTTCGCGTTCAATCGCCGATAGTCACCAGTTGGACGCCAATCGTTGCTGTCCTTTTTAGGGACCATGTGCAACGGAGATGCATATGGGCTACTTGACGGTCGTATGATTCCTAAGTCCATCATGTGATCGAATTCGTTTTTCGCTAACCTTAGCTTTTCAGGAGCTAGTCGTCGTGCTTTAGAGAATACAGGTGGTCCTGTAGTCGTGATGTGATGTGTAACATTGCTGGTTACACACGGTAGTTTCGGTTGAGTTTGTTGTATCCCAGGGTACTTATCGAGTAGTGGTTGATAGAGTGGGTCTATCATATGTTTAACTGTGACTGGGGATACTCTACAACCAGTAAAAGAAGTTACGCAAACGGACAAATTAGTGTTTCCGTCTACTAGCCTCCGTTTGCGAGTGTCGATGATCAGATTGTGGTGTTGTAGAAGGTCCATACCAATGATTGGCATAGAAACATCTGCAACGACGAAAATCCAGTGGATGGGTTTGCGTAAACCCACGTTAAGGTAAACGTACCTTTTGCCATACGTAGCGATCGGTTTTCCGTTTGCCGCCTGTAAGTTTAGGGTCGATTCGTGAAGTCGGTCGTTAGGATTTGCTGGGAGAACGCTAACTTCTGCGCCAGTGTCGACGAGGTAGCGAACTCTCGTTGTCACATCTGTGACGAATAACAGACGGCTTTGTTCGCCGGCTACGGTTGCCGTTAACGCGTGCCGGCTTGGAAGTTTCCCGAATTGTTTTTCGAATCAGTCGGTTTCGTGTTGGGAAAATTGCAGGGTTTTCTGCAATTTCTGGAAAACTTTCCATACTGGTTATGATACCAGCACCAGTCGGGGTTATCTGTCTCTCGTGGTCTAGAGACAGATCGCTTACGAGAAATGCTTCTACGTGGTGTGCGCGATCTCTTACGGTCGGTACGAAGACTAAGATAACGCGTGAGTGTGTGACATAAGTCGGTTATGTCATTCTGAGTCGTGTGAGGCTTTTCTTTGACTGAAAATACCTCGGTAGTAGAAGGTTTCGTAATTTCTAGAATGCGGTCGGCAGATACAGCTAGTTCGTCTAAGGCGTTGTTCTGGAACGAGACCAGAACTGCTTGCACCTGTTGGGGAAGTTTTGACAAGAAGAGTTGTTTGAATAGACCTTCGTCGAAAGTTCTTGGGCCTATAACCTCTCTCATCCGTTGCAACATGTCCGTCGCAGAACCGTGTTGCAGGTCGATGTTGTTGAAGAGTTGATCTAACCTTTGTCGATCGGTTAGGTCTCCTCGTTTAAGAATCGAGCGTTTTAAGATTTCGTAAGGATCGGAAACATCACTAGTAAACATACTAGGTGTTACGTACCTGTTGAATTCGCGCGGTAGTGCCTTGACTACTGCGAGGAATTGTGCACGTGTGTCGATCACGCCGTGCTCGGAGAAGTCGGCTTCTGCGTAGCAAAACCAGGCTTCGATGTTGTCGGGCCAGAAAGGCATCAGTTGAAACGAAGGTGGGGACAAGGTCTTAAGCTTGAGTACTTTAGGTGTCTGTTCAGTCATGATGAAATATGAAGTACGATAATGAACGAGGGGAAAAATATATATATATCCAAGAAAAACACGAAAAAAAATCACAATGTTTAAAAAAATAAAAAATAAGGCAATGATATATAAAAATCCCAAAAAGGAACAGACTCACAGTTGCAATAAGGTGTACCAGATCACGACGGTCTCACCAATGATGATGTCACAGGTATTCAGTGTTTCACAACGCTTCTACCAGTAACACCTTCTAATATATTTCGTTCCCACCAAGAGAAATCAAAAGACAGAGTCGAGGAGATCGGAAGAGTATATTTGGCGATGACCAATATATCGGAATTCTCTGATCTAATCTGGCTAGCGATTGCGGTTGATGTTGAGCACGGCGTTACTACACGTGATCTGGTGCGGATGCCTGACCGAGCGCCTTCAGCTAGATGAGTCCACTAAAACATATGGTCAGCATCCAATGTCGAAAACTTAGTGCTATTTATTTTGGGGATTTATTTACCGCTACAAGTGACACTGTGAGTGTCCACCTACCAACGAGGACTGAATGAGGGTTGTAAAAATGTGAGGGAATAGAATCATGATTCACAGTTGATGGTTATGGTTAGGAATTCGATTTATGGTTTTTATTACGAACTGTCAGCTGAAATGCCAAGACGCTATGTAGCCAAATTGATGAGTGAATTTCGCGCCAAAATCCAAGTCCCGTTATCTTATGTCTAATTGGTTCGTCCATAAAATATAGTCTCGTCCATTTCAGTCTTCAGTAGCATACCTCCTGTTTTCATAAGGACAGGTCAATCGACCTGTTTTTACCCTTTCGATCTCCAGTACTGTGAAAACTCGATCTGAGAGTGAGTTTATGATTTCAAAGCGATCGCTTTGGAATTTTAAACAGGTGCTGATACTACGTGTTTTGGTAGAGAATTCCAATAATTCATTACTCGGTGCAAGAAACGGGACTCGGGAGGTAGACGATATGGTTTCGTTTCTTGAACCTTCTTACAATGTCCTCTCAGATGATCAGTCCTAGACTGAAGAAAAAGATGAGACATAACGGTACTAAAATAATCGTTTGTGTTCGGTAAGTTAGTATCAAATCAGCCTATAACCTGCGGTAAAATAAAAGAACTAGGTTAATTCGTCTCCGCCTGTCTTCATAATATAGGCGAGAGACCATTTAGCATTCTGATTCCTCGCCATTGAATTAGTTTCAAAAAGGATTCTCTGTTTGAATCCTATATTCTGAATGCAGCCTCACGAAATTTGTAAGTAGAACTAAATGCTTAATTTTCAAAATCTGATTGTATGTACCGATTTGGGCTTTTTAGCCAAATATTTTACCAATACGTTTTAAATATTTGCAGGTGTATTAAAGATTATGGTGGAATGAAGTTTGGTCGTGTATCAGTTTAAAATGCTGAAATATATTTCACGGTTTACGAGGTTTTATCGTTATCGTGTTTACAGGTATGTCGAACTTTATGTTTTAAATGGAACTGTCTGTCTCTACCTTCCTTATACTTTTGTGAATGCATGAATACATCCAAATGAACCCCAATTTTTGTAGTTTCATATCAATGAGAACGGCTGCTAAGACTTACTAAAATCACTTCATTTGTTCGTGTTAGGAGTACTACAGCAAATTTATTGTACGTTGTAACATTAATGTTTAACCACTAAATTTAATGTACTTTATTCGCTGAATGCGGGTTTCCGCATGTAACTTTGAAGAGCACTGTGTAGTGTTTAGTCATGTTATTTCACTCCCGAAATCAGAATGGTGAAGGAGAGGTTCGAAACGTTTCTGAAGATGGGGGATGGTCTGAAGGAGATGTTTTGTCACTGAAGCACCAGCTTTTTGCTATTACATTCACCCCAACTTGTGGGTAAATGATGTTCATATTCATGTAATAACTTGCCGGATAGTTCTACAAAACACAGCAGTCATTCTACTAAAGTATGTAAAACCGTGTTATCACTTCCTGCTCACACACAGGCACTAAGATAATATCTTTTCCAAGGGCCCTGAAAATGAAACTTGATTGAGGGTGAAAGTTTTGCGGTACATAAATTGTATCCTCATAGCTTGAGTAATACCTGCTTCAGGCTCATCAGTCGCAACTTCGTGAGTTTTCGATGTCTTAGCTCCTTACTTTTAAAACCTCACCATTAGCACCGGAAATAAGATGTACTATTTCTCGGTCCGGCCTTTCCGGGTCACTTTTTTCGTTTTCAGTAGGCCGCATTGATGGAGATGCTGGCTATTCGTGTGGAACATCTTACTTCTACTATATACCAATACAGTCATCACTATAGTTCTGCTGTCGGACTTTAAATTTACTACCTATAGTTTTATTACTCTTCGATGTAACGAACAGCAAGTCACCTTGCCTACAAAGTAATGTTTTTTAACTATATTACTGTTAAAATAGAGAAACCCATGTTATTTAAACTCTAAAACATTTATTTTCATTCCTCAGTTTATTGTGTACTCAATCCAGTCCTCGAATTTTGCCAACATTTACCAAAACTTTGTCTTTTACTGTATCATTTACTTGGTGGCCATTGGAATTATGGAAGAAGAAAGATATACACGAACAGTGTCAACAACTATTCAATGATTCCTTATTTCATATAGTTACGGGTGAATTCAGTGTGGCAAATGATAAATTACATGAACTACTGTGGTTTGTCAACCAATCTTATCAAAATCATGAGTTAACCAATCGCGAATACATCGATAAACGTGCACGGATATGTTCCGAGATGGCAAATCTAAATCTCCTTATGGGAAATTATTTAGAAGCAGAAAAATTAATTAAACAGACAATGGAGGATTGTTTAACAGCCAAAATATCACCGAATGATGCAATGTTTATTGAGTTGTCACTTAAAATGTCCATGCTTTTCGAAAAGTCTGGTAGATTAGATGATGCTGAGAAGGGTTTTCGATTTTGTATAGAAAATCAAGAGGAAAAGTTAACAAGTTTCGATGAAAGTATCGACCATATAAATGAAAAAGCTTTACTGGGAATGTGTTGTAATTATTTCGCCAAGTAAGTCCTGTTAATGGTTTTTGTAAATACAATTAAATGAGACTTCATGATCATTTGGCCTGTCCAGTTTAGGTTGGTATATATTTTTTAATGATTTTTCCCGTGCTGATAATATAAGTTAAATTATCGTAAAAATATTTAGCCGTCAATTGAAATATTCAACAATGAATTTGATTGCATCCTCTGGGTTAATCAATTTTAGGGGCTTTTTACTGGATGCGTAATTTACCAATTCCGGATTTAAATGACCAAAAACATCAAATGTCTGGGTTTCGAGATTAGTTTTTTTCGTAATGAATCGTTGAGCTATTATTGTTTTGATGTCGACTGACTTATTGGGTTGACTCATGGGGCTCCATCTACTAACGGCGTTCTACTGCGTTGTGGAATAGACCTCTAGGCCAGATGCTCGGAGTGTAGCTCCCTGAGAAAACCACCTGCTTCAGTTTTAGGACCCGTGCAGTATTCCAGCCCTCATACTAGTCGAATAATAAAGTGTGACGCATATATATTTGGTGCCTCCGTGTACCAATGTGTATGTGTTTAAATAAATAAAATACAAATGGAAATAAATAATGTTTCATTTGTACGGTAGATCTAGTAAACAAAGTGTAGCTAGCCAATAATTCCAAATTCTTGCACATTTTATTATGTCTTGCTAGAGTGTTCAATGAATAATATTACATCTTACAAAGCTTACTTAAAGCTGTCCTTAAGGCGTGTATACAACGAAATGTCAGCCATACATACGCTACTCGTATAACAAATAATAAGTGATTGGTTTATATGCAAGCTGTATATTCTCTAACTCAATATGTTTGTCTTTTTCGGTCAAGAACAAGGGTGAATTCGGTACACTTTTAACCATAAATCAAATTTCAAATTAAATAAAGCAAGAACAAATATTGGTGCAGAATAGTATGAATTCATATTACTTCGAGGTTTCTCGTCAGCTGCTTACAAACCAAAAATGTGATAGAATTTTTACATTGAGATAGAGTGAAAACAATTGACAGACGAGTGTAAATAACTGGGTTACAATAATAACTAATATATATATATATATATATATATATATATATATATATATATATATATATATATATGCTAGAACAGGTCAGAGGTCAAAAGGAATTAATTCAGGTTGGGTGGTGTAATAATGGAATTGAATAATCATAGGATAGGTTACGTAATAATAATTAAGTAGAATTTGAAAAGTTAAGATAATTTAAGAGGATCAGGTGGTGGAAATGTGTGAATAATAATGTGGTTTAAGAATTATGTAATAGGGGAGGAGTATAAATATTTTAAAATAAATAAAGGGTTACCAGGGTAGTGATAAGTTAATTAAAGTCTCTTTTTGGATGCATAAGTCAGGTTTAAGTTTTTTGATCATGATGGCTTCAGGAAAACGAAGGGTGGTCATACTTCTTTGTCTATTGATAATTTTGAAAGCATGCGGAATGTCGATGGTGTGCCCGGTGTCAAGTACATGTCGAGCTATTGCGTTGTTGAAGGCCTTATTCCCTCGCAGCCTCAAGTTTTTTGGAACATGCTCAGAAATGCGGACATGCACTCTTCTCTCAGTTCTTCCAATGTATGTGCTTTGGCACGTACATGTGAATTGGTAGATGCAGTTGGAGCTACTAAGAAAAGAGGGCTTGTCGATTTTGGTTTGTTGATAATGAATACCCATTGAAATTCATCCAGAAATATGCGAAATGCAATCCTCGTACAAAATACGATGGAGTAGAAAGGAAAACCTGCTTCTTACACTTACGCTTCAAAGGTGATGAATTGCTGGAATAATTAATCACAGAATAAACTCTGTGTTGGAAGTCACCTACCCAGCAGCAAAACTTATGACAGTATGGCAAACGAACTGCTCACTTCAACAAACCATCCAAAAAGAGACTTTAATTAACTTATCACTACCCTGGTAACCCTTTATTTATTTATTTTAAAATATTTATACTCCCCCCTAACTCCGCCTGGAGTCCCTCCGGGGGCTACTGCCGGTCCCAAGCCCGGATAAAGGAGGAGGGTTGGGCATGAGGTTAGCGTCCCCATCCCGTAGAAAACTAACTCGCTAAAAAAGCGCTAACCAGAAAAAATTATTCAAATCTTTTAAACTCTGCCCTGGGAGTCAGAAGGTCTTCATTTAGAAGAATTATGACGCCTCATGATGAAAGCCGAATTCCTTCGGAAGTTACGAGGCCGATGCCCCTTATGACAACCAGAGCGACCATTTATTTAGGTACATGGAATGTTCGTACAATGTGGGACACCGGGAGAGCCTTCCAAATTGCTGCAGAAATGAGAAGATACAACCTAGAGGTACTTGGGATCAGTGAAACACATTGGACACAAGTTGGACAACAACGACTAACTACAGGAGAGCTCCTGTTATACTCCGGCCATGAAGATGAAAATGCGCCACATACACAGGGAGTTGCATTGATGCTGTCCAAACAAGCGCAAAATGCGCTTATAGGATGGGAATCTCATGGACCAAGGATCATCAAAGCGTCGTTTAAAACAAAGAAAGAGGGCATTTCAATGAACATCATCCAATGCTATGCTCCTACCAACGACTACAATGAAGACGCTAAAGATCAATTCTACGATAGGCTGCAGTCAATCGTCGAGAAGTGCCCAAAAAAGGACCTGACTATTCTGATGGGAGATTTCAACGCCAAGGTTGGAACGGACAACACTGGATATGAAGACATCATGGGACGACACGGACTGGGAGAAAGAAACGAAAATGGTGAGAGATTTGCAAATCTATGTGCCTTCAATAAGCTGGTCATAGGCGGCACCATATTCCCACATAAACGCATACACAAAACCACATGGACTTCACCGGATCACTATACACAAAACCAAATCGACCATATTTGCATCAACAAAACGTTCAGGAGGACTATAGAGGACGTGAGAACCAAGAGAGGAGCTGATATAGCATCAGATCATCACTTGCTGGTCGCCAAGATGAAATTGAAACTCAAGAAGCACTGGACAACGGGGCGGACAATATCACAAAAGTTCAATACGGCCTTTCTTCAGGATACTAACAAACTCAACAAATTCAAGATAGTCCTCAGCAACAAGTTCCAGGCCTTTCATGATCTACTCAATGGAGAAGGAACTACTGTGGAGAGCAACTGGAAGGGGATCAAAGAGGCAATCACTTCAACATGTCATGAGGTCCTGGGTCACAAGAAGCACCATCACAAGGAATGGATCACTGTTGATACACTGGATAAGATTCAAGAAAGGAGGAACAAGAAGGCAGCAATCAATACCAGTCGAACAAGAGCAGAAAAAGCCAAGGCACAAGCTGAATACACAGAAGTAAACAAACAAGTGAAGAGGAGCATCAGAACCGACAAACGTAAATATGTGGAAGATTTAGCAACGACGGCGGAAAAGGCTGCAAGAGAAGGAAACATGAGACAACTGTATGACACGACAAAGAAACTCTCTGGAAATCGCCGCAAACCAGAACGACCAGTGAAAAGCAAGGAAGGCGAGGTAATCACCAACATTGAAGAGCAACAAAACAGGTGGGTAGAACACTTCAAAGAACTCTTGAATCGACCAGCTCCACTGAACCCACCCAACATCGAAGCAGCACCCACGGACCTCCCAATCAATGTTGGCCCACCAACAATTGAAGAAATCAGCATGGCCATCAGACAAATCAAGAGTGGCAAAGCAGCAGGACCGGACAACATCCCAGCAGAGGCACTAAAAGCAGACGTAGCGGCAACTGCAAGGATACTCCACATTCTCTTCAATAAGATTTGGGATGAGGAACAAGTACCAAAAGACTGGAAAGAAGGACTTCTGATCAAAATACCGAAGAAAGGCGATCTCAGCAACTGTGATAACTACAGGGGCATCACTCTTCTCTCAATACCGGGAAAAGTCTTCAACAGGGTATTGTTAAACAGGATGAAGGACTGCGTAGACGCCCAACTTCGTGACCAACAGGCAGGATTCCGTAAGGATAGATCGTGTACAGACCAAATCGCAACTCTACGGATCATTGTGGAACAATCAATTGAATGGAATTCATCACTCTACATCAACTTCATTGACTACGAAAAGGCATTTGATAGCGTGGACAGAACAACACTATGGAAACTTCTTCGACACTACGGCGTGCCTCAGAAGATAGTCAATATCATACGGAATTCCTATGATGGATTAAACTGCAAAATCGTGCATGGAGGACAGTTGACAAAGTCGTTCGAAGTAAAGACCGGTGTCAGGCAAGGTTGCTTACTCTCACCCTTTCTCTTTCTCCTGGTGATCGACTGGATCATGAAGACGTCAACGTCTGAAGGGAAGCACGGGATACAATGGACATCTAGGATGCAGTTGGACGATCTAGACTTCGCAGATGATCTGGCCCTTCTATCCCAAACGCAACAACAGATGCAGGAGAAGACGAACAGTGTGGCAGCAGCCTCAGCAGCAGTAGGTCTCAATATACACAAAGGGAAAAGCAGGATTCTCCGATACAACACAGAATGCACCAATCCAATCACAATTGACGGAGAAGATTTGGAAGATGTAAAAACCTTTACATATTTGGGCAGCATCATTGATGAACAGGGTGGATCTGATGCAGATGTGAAGGCGCGGATCGGCAAAGCAAGAGCAGCATATTTACAACTGAGGAACATCTGGAACTCAAAGCAACTGTCAACCAACACCAAGGTCAGGATTTTCAATACAAATGTCAAGACAGTTCTACTGTATGGGGCAGAAACCTGGAGAACTACGAAAGCCATCATCCAGAAAATACAGGTGTTTATTAACAGTTGTCTACGCAAAATACTTCGGATCCGTTGGCCGGACACTATTAGCAACAACGTACTGTGGGAGAGAACAAACCAGATCCCAGCGGAGGAAGAAATCAGGAAGAAGCGCTGGAAGTGGATAGGACACACATTGAGGAAAGCACCCAACTGCGTCACAAGACAAGCCCTCACATGGAATCCTGAAGGCCAAAGGAAAAGAGGAAGACCAAAGAACACATTACGCCGAGAAATGGAGATAGACATGAGAAAAATGAACAAGAATTGGATGGAACTAGAAAAGAAGGCCCAGGACAGAGTGGGTTGGAGAATGCTGGTGGGCGGCCTATGCTCCATTGGGAGTAACAGGCGTAAGTAAGTAAGTATACTCCTCCCCTATTACATAATTCTTAAACCACATTATTATTCACACATTTCCACCACCTGATCCTCTTAAATTATCTTAACTTTTCAAATTCTATTTAATTATTATTACGTAACCTATCCTATGATTATTCAATTCCATTATTACACCACCCAACCTGAATTAATTCCTTTTGACCTCTGACCTGTTCTAGCATATATATATAGTTATTATTGTAACCCAGTTATTTACACTCGTCTATGTCAATTGTTTTCATGTTATCTCAATGTAAAAATTCTATCACATTTTTGGTTTGTAAGCAGCTGACGAGAAACCTCAAAATAATATGAATTCATACTATTCTGCACCAATATTTGTTCTTGCTTTATTTAAATTCGTAAAGGGAACCAATTGCATGAAATTTCAAATTTACTGATATTGCCATACAGCAGCTTTCACATCTTCACTCAGTTCAGAGAAAAAATTGCAATAAATTATAAGGTAACCTGCTTTCCCACCAAAAATTACTAAGTAACCCTTACTCAAGTCTTCCAAATAAATAGAAAGTACACGATTCAACCTATGAGTCAATGTTCATGTTATGTTATGGGGTCATCTTATTTTGATACTAGTGTATAAGCTATCTATATACAAGGCCAAACCAGATTATTGAGTGAAAAAACCCAAGTCACCTGGATTACTTCATGGACTAAAACTAAAATTGTCATATGTGTATATTCATTCATAAATGAACGTCCTTAGAAAATCAAGCTACACTTTCAGCCAATGGTGTGCCCTTCTTTCCTTAGAAAGTGAAGCCAAATCTTGACAAATAGCGTGCGCTCATTTAACCTGGCTGAATGGTACGGTATATCAGTTTACAAACTGGTATACACGAGATTTATAGTGACAATTCCTTTTCGAATCCGAGGTGAGACTATAATTTATGAACGAGCCAATGAGATTTACATAATAAGCCCTGGAATTTGGTGTGAAATTAAATAGCTTTTTGTCATTATAGCTGGCATCTGGTGGCGGTTGAATTTTTTCAGGGTCATTTTGATATTACTCAAAAGTTGTCCATAGAATATAGTCCCACCGAATTCGATAATTGTTCATAGCTATGGAAAATTGCGTCCAATTACTTATATATTTATTTTTAATTCACAGATTTCTCTTTGCTAATCAAAGACAAACAGAAGCTTTAGCTTATGCTCAGCGAGCTTATGAAATTGCCAGTCAAATTTATCCTTTAGACCATGCAAACTGTTTAAATTTATTAATTGATATTAGCGTTATCTATGCTGATTTAAATGTATTTACAGAGTCTCAACGTATTCTTGAACAAGTTATTCAAACAAGTCAAACCAAGTATCAATTTTTCATTGATAATTACTCTAATGATAATGAACTACTGAAATCCAACGTTTCAAAACAACGTGAAATGCATGAAATTATGTATACTCTAATACATTCAATATTACAATTAGCCGTTGTTAATTTAATGTTGAAAAACTAGAATTTGTGAACCAGTTATTATTACAAGCTGATCACATCATTAATCAAATTGATCAATTGGGTTTAAAAGTCTCTACGCACCGTAAACTTATTAATGATTTCAAAATGGAACATCATTTTCAAATCTAGAAATGTTTTCGACTCCCTCATCTTTGTTGTTTCTTTCTTCAATTTTGTATAGAGATTTATATGAATGTATTTTAGAGTGAGTTATATTATAAATGACTAAAATTGTATATTTGAGTGACGTGACAAGGTTACTTTCTTATGTTCACGATAATTGCTGCAAATCATTCTTTTTTCCTACCTATTTATCATTATATCTTGTTGATAAGTACCGCTTAAATGCTTTTTATAGTTTTACAATTCAGTTTGTTTTACTATTATGAGTCCAAAATCCCTAATTCCCTCCATAACCTTTGCTCTTTTCTGGCTGGTTACTTTATGATTCTGTTGTAACGCGTGTGTGTGACTGCAGGTTATGCTAGACAGCGTTTATATCGATCGATTACAGTAGACACGGAAAACACGTATGAACGACCTAGTGCCCTGATTGGTCCCGCTTCGCAGTCTGTCCCAGCCAGTTGAGTCAAGAACACAAGTGACAGCCTCGGAGATATGAATCATTGTATTTCAAACATACTCTATTTATATACCAAGCAAACAACCCACATCGTACCATAAAGTAGGAAACAACATTTGTACAATATTTAACAAGTGAAATAAACATCGACCAATAAGAAATGTACATTTAAGGTTCAAGGACACCATTGAACTTAACATGGTAATTATTGGTCTCTTTTTCCGACTATCCCAACACCTCCCCTTTTTCGAAAGATGCGGAGTTCATATCTGGACTTTAAAATTTTCTGCGTCCGTCCTCCCCCTCGAAATAACGTTGGGTCCTCATATACCCAAGCAACAATCAGTCTGATTCTATTTAAAGCATATTTCGCGCATTGAGTAGAGGGTTCACTAAAACTGACTAGATGATAAGGATTAGCGACTCCAGACATGACGTCATTAAGGTTTGATTTTTGTGCAACATATCCTTCAGACCTCTTCAAAATGCGATCACTGGATAATAGGTCACTAAAACAAACAGCATCTTTGGAATTCATATTAGATTTCTGACCATCATTTGATGCACGGGAAACATTTTCTGGCACGAGAGGTTCTTCTTGTAAGCTGGATACCTCACATGTTTCAGGCACAGTGCGATTTGAACCCACAACAGGGCATACTTCTGAATTGGACAATTCTGGATCTCTGGATGGATCATGGGCGACTGCCTCGTTTGCATTACTGATCGTGAGGGATTCATAGAGGCTTTTGTTTTCATCTTCATATGTCCTGCAGTCATTCTCGAGTTCAGTATGCAGGTGAGAAATTAATTCGTCAATCTCTTTCACATCTCCGAAACACGGGAGATTTAGCAGTCGCGTGCGCATATAGTCCAAAACATTCAACTGGCTCTCTCTGTAACGATCTAGTAGTATCTGCAATTGATCGGAGGGGATAGTCATTTTCTGAATCAGCAGAGTAATGAGAAATACTGTAATCAACTAACAACCAATGACTCCCAAGGACGCCGACGACAAATCTGGATACTGATTGGTCAGAACAATTATACTGAATCTCGTCCAATTACAGGGTTCAAAATTCTCTCTACCCCGTCGCCAATTGTTGTAACGCGTGTGTGTGACTGCAGGTTATGCTAGACAGCGTTTATATCGATCGAAGTACAGTGGACACGGAAAACACGTATGAACGACCTAGTGCCCTGATTGGTCCCGCTTCGCAGTCTGTCCCAGCCAGTTGAGTCAAGAACACAAGTGACAGCCTCGGAGATATGAATCATTGTATTTCAAACATACTCTATTTATATACCAAGCAAACAACCCACATCGTACCATAAAGTAGGAAACAACATTTGTACAATATTTAACAAGTGAAATAAACATCGACCAATAAGAAATGTACATTTAAGGTTCAAGGACACCATTGAACTTAACATGGTAATTATTGGTCTCTTTTTCCGACTATCCCAACAGATTCAGTGTTACATCATTTGTTACAAGATCACTAACATAGATTATATTTTCAAACAAGTACAGTAATACCACTTCTTGTAGGTAAAATAAAACTATATACAAAATGTCAGCTTGTTAGGTATGTATATTAATAACGTTTTTACATCCGAAGAATAAATGAATGGTAACTGCTAGGAATTATTTATTTACTTTTTTTGGGTAACTATAAGAAACTAGAATATATGTATTCGTATCCCTTTTATTATGAGCTTTTATTTGACCTTTTGGCTACTGCGATACGACTTACCACTCTTAAATTATTCCCGATTTATCAGTTGCAGTATCTCACACAAACACTTTTGACTTGATCTTGCTTAATTATTATTCCTCATTGTATGGTGTGATGTAGTCTGGTCTGCTTGTATATAAGCCTAGTATATCTGAATCATACGATTCAGTACGAGTCTGAAACTGTTTTCTGGACTGAACGGGCTGGGTTAGGTGAGGACCAATAAGGACTCGGAGTTGACTCAAGGCTATTCGTGCTGGATAACGCATCATTATTTTAGCACATGGACAAGGTCATATAAGTCGGTGTTCTGGTTGACGGCTTTGTCACGTGATATTTGACGGGCCATAGGACATAACAACGTTTGAAGTACTGTTTGCCGTGTATCGTTACGTCACATTAGGTTGATATCATTTGTAGAGTTAGCGTTTGAACTCTCCATCATTAGGCATGAAAAACGTGACCTTTGATTAACTTGTTCAGACATGTTTTTGATTGATCAAATATTATTCTTATTGTTCCGTTGTACTATTTAAACTTGGATTAATTCTAATTTTAATATTCTCTGAAGAAGTGACTTACACTAAACCGCCCGACCGTGTTACGTATGCCTGAACACCGATTATCACGACGTGCAATGCTATCCGGTATTGGAGATGGTTAGAAGAAAGTTAGGGGCGGCCAAACCAAAACGTGGCATCAGTGCTTGAAGACACTAACTTCTAGTCTGAGCCATGTTGTTAGATGCAGACTACTTGGTTGGGGTCCGCGTGACTTTCGTAACCAATGGTTGGAGACTCTTGGTGACATGGCTCAGAATCGATCACAATGGCGTCGGTGTATACACTCCCTGTCTTCCCTTAAACTAAGAGATTAAAATCGCTTCATATCTTTCTTTCTACGAACCAATTCTTTCTTCTTGTATTATATCTCTATATGCAATCTTTCTCTTATATATTACCACCATTGACCTAACCACTGCTATGAATCCGGTGTTCATCTTGTTGTGCTGATGCGGTATGGCAACCTGGACCGATGCACATATGTACCTGGTCCTACGTTGTGGCTGACTGACTGACACTAAACCACGAAACGTCAGAAAATCTAATTTTCTACTCATTGGGATATCACAAATATATTATTTATTTAATAGTATAGGAAATTAACGGTAAGTTGGATGAATTATTAGGATATATATATTTCATATTTACAGATTATTTATTATTACTAGCTGTATACAAAATAGGTTTCCTTGTACAAGTGGTGAGAAACATACATAAATCATTACTTGTTTGTACTTCACACTCTGACTCTCGTAATATCCAACTCTTCGACGTTATCCTAGGTGGAGAGAATTCGTCTACAAGATAACATATATTGAGAAATAACCACTTTAAAATAAATGAAAATATTATATTAACTTATTCAGAAATAGTAAGGTCCTGGTCAAGCACGTAATTATTTTAGTGTGCGGTTTAAGTAGTAAATTGTGCTGAAATATTTAATATTGTCCTCTCTTACTCATAAATATGCTAAGATAACATCTAATGAATGTTTTGTTCTAGATTATTTAGTTTATCAAACATAAATTTATCGTTTCCTAGACCATTATTACCTCATATATTGTGTTAATTTATCATTTCAAGTTGAATCGTTTTAGTCACATGCTAGAAACTCTAAACGAAATGATTTCCGTGTTTAAGCTATATTAGCTTCAACAGTCTTTACTAATGCCACTTCAACACAAGCTAATCAATGTCATAAAGAATTCATATGAATTCAAATAAAAGATCTCAGAGTTATCTATCAACAAGAACGAAACACTGGTATGATGTATCTTTATACACTAGCATTCCAGTCCATAGATGTCTTGATTTCGTTAATGATTTAATAGAGAATGATATTACTCTATTTCGCAGATGTCCATTAAGCATTAGTTTAATCATGAAATCCCTCGAACTGCTTAAATGTAACACTTTTCAGCTTCGAAGGGACCTTATATAAACAAACGAATGGAGTAGCTATGGGACATCCAGTATCCCCGATTGCTGTAAATTTATTTATTTCTCACATTGAGTCGCTTATTCTTGCCAGTACCATCAGACCACTCATCTGGCTCAGATATATAGATAACACAATTGTCCTCTTTAAAAAGACTCTTGTTAGCAATTTCTCCAAACACATAAACACGCTCTCAGAACACATCAAATTCACTTTCGAAGTGAAGATGAGCATGGTGAACTACGTTTCTTCCACTGTTCAGTTAAAAGTAATTCTAATGATAGTCTCAATCTAACCATATACCGAAAACCGACACATTCTAATCGGTATATCGATTTTAACCCTACACATCCATTCGGTACGAAAATTTCCCTAGCCCTGGATCTCTTCGGAAGAGCAACCAGGATTATTACTTCAGAAGAGACAAACTAAAAGGAAAAGAGAATACAATAAACATCCTACGTTTTGAAATTTTCCCTAAGAATATTATCAAAAACATATCAATACAAAATTGTCCATCTGTAAATAGCAATCTTAATGAAAGGTCTGTCCCCAAATGCCCTGGTACGGCCGAGAGTGGGGAGAGTCCGCTCTCCCTCTCGAAATACTCTCACACGGCCACGCGTATACAGCCTCTGCCAGGGAAGTCCTACTCATTGCCTTCTCGTGGCGGGGTGTTGTTTACGAAAATGAGAGGACGGAAAGCGAATGTCCGGCGCTTTAACCGGATTCCAAATCAATGGTGCACATGGGCTCCAGTATCCTGCGGGAACAAAAGGCGTATGAACCGATTGTTGGTCACCGGCTTCCATGGGACTGCATCTCCTTACGATGCTCCACTGCCTTGTGGATCAGACCTTCAGGTCGAAGGCTTGGGGAGTGGCCCCCTAAGATAACCACCTGCTTCGGTTTGGGCACCCAGGCAGTATCACAGCCCTCACACATCGAATGAGATTTGTGTGGCGCATGTGTATTTGGTGCCTCCTTGTACCAATATCTATGTGTTAAAATAAATAAATAATGAAAGGTCTTGGATTAGTACTGTGGTTTTACCTTGCCGCCAAGGTACGACGGAGGAATTACAATAGTTATTGAAAACGTACAAAATTAAAGCTTTCTATAAGACAA